AAGAAATGTTTAATGGATTGTATAAAAGCTTCATACGTACCCACCTAGACTATGTGGCAATGGCATATCAATCTACGACACCTACTGCTCTTAAAATGCTTGACCCTGTTCATTATCTATAGGCATCCGTCTCTCTACGGGTGCTTTTCGCGCTAGCCCCGTGGAAAGCATGTACGTGGAATTGAACGAATGGTCGCTTCACCTACAAAGATGTTACATGTATTTTAAATATTATCTTAATGTAAATGCAGACAAAGATCACCCATCATGTTCCACAAAAAAATGACATGTCAAGCCTTGCTGTGTTTAAGAAACGGCCTTCTATGAGACAGCCCTACTCACTCCATGTGAGGCGCCTATAGCGAAGGAAACCGGTGTGCCACTTGAACACCGTTTGATAGCTCCCGCAGTATAACTGCCACCATGGCAATGACAGGTGTTAAATTGCTACGTGTATTTCTTCGAGGTTACGAAGAATGCACCAATTGCACATATCCAGACATACTTCCTAGAACTACAATACAAGTACACATGTCCTGAGTTCTTTACGGATGCTTCAAAGTCCGACACTTTTGTCTCGTACGCAGCCGTCGGCCCATCCTTTTCAGAAGCCGGCGTTCTGAACTCTGATTCAAGCATCTTCACAGGCGAAGCTTATGCGATACTTGCGGCCGTCAAACACATTAAACAAATAAATATACAGAAGTCAATAATATATGCAGATTCCCTCAGCGTAGTAAAAGCTCTGAAAACTCTTAAAAAGCACAAAAACCCTGTCCTTGTCTCGCTTCATTCGCTATTATGCACAGTCTACTCATCTAAGCAGCATGTTGTAGTCTGCTGGGTGCCAGGACACCGTGAAATTCAAGGCAACGTTCTGGTGGACCAGCTAGCTGGATCTGCCAACAAAACCACTTCCAGCACATCGATACCAGTTCCTGCACTCGACTTGAAACCTTTTCTAAAACGACGGCTCAGGGGCTATTGGCATAGCACATGGGACCCACACACAGGTAATAAATTACGTGTCATCAAGCCGCTACTTGGTCATTGGCCTCCAGTATCAAATTCACGCCACACAGAAGTAAACCTTACAAGGTTAAGAACAGGACATACACACACAACACATTCATTTCTTTTGTCTGGGGTCTACATTTGAGTGATAGATATGGAGAAGCACTCACCGTACTTCACATTCTAATCCAGGGTAAAGAATTAGACACGCTGAGAAAACAACACTTTCCGTTACCCTACCGACGACAGATACCACTCCATACTGCAATGTTCGTTGGTAGGGAACCACTTTTACCCATAAATCATTGTTAGCTTTTTAAAGAGAAGTTCGTACTTTTCATATCATATACCCGTGCATTCCGTAGCACGACCTCTCTAAGAAGACTCCGCTGCGGCGGCTACACTCAACAACGCACTTGCCTCACGGCCCTTGGACGCAAGGGTGTGAAGAGTGAGGCACTTGTGCTAATGCCATACATGTCCACCATCGTTTTTATCTTCACAAACATTTGTGATCCATTAACACCACACACCTTTCACAACATGGTCATGATTTTATTACTTCTATGTTTTTACCCGCCTTAGTGCGAGGAATTTAGTGGCCCTTATACAGCCGCTTATCACAATCATTGTCCATATTTCTAGTAAGATGGTAATAAAGGCTACAGTGCGAGCACGAAGGTGCTAGAAGAAACAGACGAAAGGTGAGGCACGGAAAGCAAAGAGGACAACACGAGCGCTGCTTTCCGTGCCTCGCCTTTCGTCTGTTTCTTCTAGCACCTTCATGCTCGCGCTGCAGCCCTTATTACCATGAATTCAAACCAACTAGCCCAAATAGCCATTCTTCTTCAATGCATTTCTAGTAAGATGAACTGGCGCTCTTTGGCCATGAAATGGCCTTTGCACCACCAAACATCAAAGATCATCAAAATTATAAAAATTCATACCTGGCCACATTGGTTCACTTCCGTTGAGTGATAAGGGAGAGTAAGATGGTTTGATGAATACGACGCACGTACTGGTCAAGACGTGAATATTGTCGCCATCCCATCGCGTACGCCAGTCGTCAAACACTTCCCGTCAGACAGTGGCACATACCCGTCGGCGGGCATGTGCCACTGGTATGCGGGTATGTGCTACAGCTGATTTACGCTTAGTATCTACCCAGGAGCGACAACAACACACATGGATAACTTTAACACCCGAGCGTTAAGGAAACGCTGCCATCAGTAGCGTTGTCCCGACGATTGCAAAGAATATATGCAAGATCCCAGCAGCAATCGAACCCAAGCATTTTGCGTGGCAATCAAGCATTCTTCCTCAGATCCATGCATGTCAGTTCTCGGAGATACTTTTCAAATAGACTGCATAGTTCGGCAAACTTCCGTTGTGGTTAGAGTGTGGGCTATCCAACTTTATAAATATTACATATGTACTCCTACGATATAGCAGTCACATCGAATTAACGCCACTTGTAGTTAGGTGCCGTACGTTAAAGTTGATTGATGTAAAAGTGTACAGGGCTACCATCCTCACGACCACCAACGCTTCATATCAGCTTATTGCTTCTGGCGTTGCTAATACTCACGTTACTGTTGGCATTGTTGAGCAAGTGCAAACTGGTTGTAAAAACATTTGTAACTATTCAACATACGTCTGTGCGTGCAGCATTTGTACATATATTTAGCGCCATTTCATAGCATATAGCTCAATAAACATATTACAATATGGTCGCCTTCCCTTTGCATGCTTCGCATCACATCGATTCCCAAGGTACGTGGGATCTGCCAAATTTTCGTGGCTACTCTTGTTGAAAATATTTATGTAGAACAAAAGCTTAATACCGCTGTTGTTGTAAATGATTTTTGTTGTTCCTTGTTTTGCATGTTTTGTCTGTTCAGGAGCTTTTCTGTTTAGGAGTTTCGATAGCTCTTTGTCGTCGACTCTTAAGCTTTGTCATCGACTCTTTATGTCTTATACTGTCACTTTATGTCACTTTACATTGTATGGTGCAATGCTCGGGTGACGTATGTGAAACACAAAAAAGGTTTAACAATAAACTAATATCAAATCTAATTGTGGCAGAACAATATAAAACACCTACAAGCACAAACTATTTATACTAGTCGGCAACTTTAACGTAGACATTATATAACTTACAACCTAGCTTTGTCGTAGACTCTTTATGTCACATTATCTCGCCTTATGTCACTCCATTTACATTATAAGGGCAATGCTCGGGTGACGTATGTGAAACACAAAAAAGGTTTAACAATAGACTAACATCAGTAATAATTGGAACAGAAGAGTGTAAAACACTAACAAGCACAAACCGTTTATACTAGTCGGTGACTTTAACGCTATGAACCTTAGGAGTTAGCGTCGCCCACTCGTCAACATTCACTTTATTTAGATGCGTGGATGTGTTTTCTTTTCCTTTTTAATGATCGCATTAGCTAAATTAGATATGCGAGTGCGATAACATTAGATATATGGCTTATCATCGATGCGGGATCATGCGTAAACATTGCGTTTCGTGGAATGGTTCAATTTTCTGTAATTTACCCGCAGAAGCACAATTGTCATTTTTTTTCTTACTCGACACGACAGGCGAGGTGCACTATAGTTTTTCAAGGGCTAAAGAACTATATCGTGTTGGAGCGACTGTTTTATTTGCTGCTTGAATGGTTTCTTTTGCATTGCCGACCCTGTTCAAGAGTGTTGGCGAACAGGTGTCCCGACTTGTCCGCAATAATGCACTGTATGCTAGTGCACATTATTACGCGTAATACCGTCGCAATATTGAATGGGCGTGGCGCCTAGAATAATGTTGAACATGACACTCGCATATTATTTTACGAGACATTATGACACCGTTTCCAAAACACTGAGAAGCGTGAAAGTTTGGTTTTGGGACGTTAAACCATATATATTAAGTCTGGGTTGACAACACATTCACTGCAAGAGCAGATTCTCACATTTCCATCGTAGAATATTTTACAACGCAACGGGTCGGATATGAATAGGGAAGTGACTGCGCTGTGTCTTTTCTCCGTCCGTATTTGTGCTGTGAAATGTTCTACGATGAACATCCACCAACTTGCCCAACTCACGATTCTGCTTCTCGTATTTTACCGCAGTTGTGAAGCCCCTCTAAAAAATTCGTTACGATTTTTTGTTTTTTTTCTTACCATTACACATATAAAAAGGAAATCTTTCTAAAGGAAGAAGTTAGGTACGTAGTACGTACTGGCTGACTAGTTGGTTCGTGTAATAAATAGCTTAACAGGCAGACAGGCACAAAAAAAGGAAAAAAAACACACTTTCTTTGTCTTCATGTTTTAAATTTTAATGATCATGGTAGTTTCCGTCAAGGGGAACCATTCTTTCTTTATTTCCTAATCTGTCATCTTTCCTAAACTTTTATTGGATGCTGAAAACACACCTTCATGCATGTTTATTTTCTCTCGCAGACAATGCCATGGGGATATCTAAATGTTCATTCTGGCATCCCATTTATGCGCCTTCTATGCGAAGTGTCCATGGCAGAGAGGATAATTTGGAATATGTTTTGGTAATCTTAGAACCGATCCTGAACAGGGCCATCACTTCATAGCACTTAATTACGCAAAAAAAAGCTTGGAATTAGCCCAGGAGTACGACTCTTGTGAAACTCGGTGCATAAAAAAAAAAACGACAAAACGTACGCACTATAATACATGTGCGATGTAGCAGTTCGTCCTGCATCGTCTGAGAGGGATGAAAAATGTTCACGATCGTAATCGATCTGCCTTGCGAGAGTGCGCGAAGATAGTTTTTTTTTAACTTCAGGAACACGGCAACGCAAACAAGTTTGCACGCTGACAGTGTACTTCAAAGAAACGAGTCGATGGAACGTGAATTCACTGCGAATGTTCGTTCAACTCATTTACAAAGCGAGCAATGCGGATGAGTGTTGCACAATACGAAACAAAAGGGAAGACAGTTTACAAATTGGTGGAAATAGTCGCTGAAGTGCAGTCCAAATAGGAACACTTTTTGTGAGGGCTCATTTTCGCATCATCCTGGCAGCCGAAAGCACGTGCGAAGGGCGCGAAGTTCGACACCGCCTTATTGCAGTGCAAGCGATAAGATTGCATGGTCTCAGGGAGGTTGCACATCGCGAAGCAGGCAGAGAGGAAAAATAGCTGTTCGTCGCTGATCGAGCTCGACACTCTCCGTTCGCTATCGTTTTTGATGGCGATCGAGTCCTTATATGCTTGGTAAGCGAATTCCAAAGCCGGTATCTCGGGAAACGGCGTGCTGTGGAAAGGGTTGAGGCACGCCGCTCTGCGCCTAGATCCCGTCGTCCAAGTGGCGGCCGGCTGGAACAGCGTGGCTTGTCCGAGCAAATCTACCGGTACCGTGAAGGGATCGAAAGACCTCGCCAGTTCACGGGCGAAGGAGAACCCGACAGTGCCGTACGCCATAGCTTTGGTGCCATCGGCGTAGTACCACGGCCTGGAGAACGCAGCCAGGGCTATCGACACGCTGTTGAGAACGTGCGTGTACCTGAAATACGGAAGCGCGTAGTTGCGCGGACTCTCAATGGTGTCGTTGTGTGTGGCACTGTCTCGCAGTCGGCGCCATGTTTTCATGGCCCAAATCCACTGCTGAGCGAAGAGGTTGTTTTCGTCTGCGAAAAAGAGTTGTTCAAACCTGTGTATCGACTCGTCGGATAAGAACTCGCTCCCTGGCCAAAGCTCCACCGTGACGTTTCGGACGCGATCGACGAGTGCTTGCTTGGAAGCTTCATCAGCCCAGGTGACGCTGAAAATTTTATCCGCAGCCGATTGCGCCACGCTCGCTAGGAGCGCGTCTATGCCGTTTCTTGTACGGGTAGTGAAGTGATCCTTGGCGTACGTTGACGTGAACAGCCGCTGATAGGCTATTTCCACCTGGGTAGCGCAAAAGATGTGCCGGTACTCAGCTGCTGCCCTCTTGTCTCCGTGCTGCGGCAAGAGCAGCTCTCGATCGGCAAGTGGGCCGAAATTCTGCACGAAAATCCAAGATATGTGCTCCAGCAGCTCGACTCTTGTGTAATTGACGAACATTTCATTCACAGCGTAAAGCAACTCTCTGTCCCATACGGTCACCCTGTCATTACGCCGAAACTCGCCGAAACGATTCACATGACTGTTGAGCTGGTCAATCCATCGTGACTCCGGTATGTTGGGCGTCAAGTAGCGTATGCTTCCGAGCTCGAACTGCACTGGCTGAACGGCAACCTTCTTGCCGACAAGGATAAACCTATTAAAGACACTCCTCTCTATCATGGCGATCCGGTTGATGTATTCCTCGGACCGCTCCGGATAACCAGGAGCAAGGAACGCATTACTAAATCTGTTCCAGTAGGTCATGTAAGACTTCAGAGCAGACAGGTCTCGTTGCTTGTTCTCACGCACGATGAAGAAGCTTGTGGGATCGAACAGGATGTGTCGACCACCGTCACTCGGCGCACAGCCGTATGGGCATCGGCGAAGTGCCGCGGAGAACCAAATGTCGAGACGCCAGTTGAGCGACAAGTCTAGGAGCACACCCAAGGGGTCGACTTTTTCCAGAGGAGCGTCCGGCCAAGAAATCCTCAGCTGGCGCATGAACGACTTCAGGTCACTGATGCCCCTCCTCGAGTCCTCGGGACTGGTGAGCATGCAAGATGAGAACGCGGCGTCCACCTTCCTAACAAAGTGCTCCCGAGGGGACCCATCAAGAAATATCTTGCGGAAGCTCTCGTACCAAGCTGCCATAGCACTGCTCATGGAAGCCGTGCCGTAGCTGTAAGGTTGTGCGAAAGGTGCCCAGTTCGAGCAGGCGTACGCCTCGAAGTCATCGCATGGGTTTATAGTGGCGTTTACCGCGCCCGCCAAGATTTCGGCGTAGTAGCGACAGCCCACAGTGCGGCACAGCACCTCGTTATCTTGCATAGGCTCACGTGAGCGTGATTTCATAGGCATAAGAAAGAAGAGTAGCATCAGTAGTACGACTAGCATGATCGATGTGGCGATGGTGGCTATGATGGTGCCGCTGTCCTTGTCTTTCATGTGCCGCTGTCTCCTGGGATGCAGCGTAAGCTGCGAGATGTTTGTAAAAGATAGTAAAAATTGATCGCCCCCTCCTTTTAGCAAGAGCGGAATCTGGTTTTCACCCCCCCCCCCCACACACGCATGCACGCACGCACGCACACACACACACACACACACACACACACACACACACACACACACACACACACACACACACATATATATATATATATATATATATATATATATATATATATATATATATATATATATATATATATATATATATATATATATATATATATATATATATATATATATATTCAAGGTAGGTTTACCAATTCACGTGTTTTTTATGTAGAGAATTGTATGCCCTCCCGATCATTTCTTTTTTCTTTTTATGCATATATTTTTATTTATCTGCATGTCTATTAAAAGCAAGACGCCCATTTCATCAAGCTCGCCTTGTTATAGTGATATCTTACAACAGCCTTGGCTCAATATGTTATTTAGTCGTTCTACAAGAGTATTCTTCTTTGTATATATTTTATATATGCTGCTGCATGCAAGGGCATACAATCTATGCGATGTTCATCACTCCCTCTTTAGAAGTATTTAACTAACTAGGCAAGAAAACCATAGAAATAAATAATAATGGTGAATATATATGTTATCAACTTTGATTTCGTAGATATGACATTATGCTTTTAGGCAATAATTGCGACAACTTGTTAGAAGGGATTGCTAGGTCCCCTTGGCACCTCAAAAGGGAAAGTAATAATGTATAGTTGAACGTAAATATGCCGAACACCAATGTAATGTTCAGTGGCCCAGGAGAAAACTAAAGTTAAGAATTGGTAACGAAACCTATAAAATCTTTACAAGAGTATTTGTAAGACCGTTACTCAAAAGGTGACTGCCTCGAGTAAAGCAAATACACTTTGAGATAATGACGGGCTTTCGCGAATGGGGTAGGCTTTCAGATATCATGACAGTCTGCCGCTGTCTCTAAAGCTAAATGTATGCGGTTAATGCATTCCGCCCGTCCTAATATGCTGAGATGGAACTTGGAGGATAAGAAATGAGTCCGAAAAAAACTTGACCATGCAGCGTCCAGTGGTACGAAAAATTATAGGCGTCACATTGAGAGACTGGAACAAAGCAAAATGGGTCAGGTAACAAGCAGGGGTAACCATTATTCTGAGTGGCATCAAGAGAATGAAATGAGCTTGAACCAACCAAATAATGCCCGAGGAACAGTTACGGGTGGTCAGTTAGATCAACGAAGTGGTTACCAGGGCATGGGAAACGCAGCTGAGAACGGAAGCTAGTAGGATGGAGTGACTAAATTAAGAAGTTCTATTTGCAAGATGTTTCAGCGCGCGAACAAAAGAAAAAGGACAGGGTAGACAGAAAGAGCGCTCTTTCTGTCTACCCTATCCTTTTTCCTTTGTTCGCGTGCTGAAACATCTTGCAAATATGACGACGCACCAACTAGCCCAAGCTTCCTCTCTTGTAAGAAGTTCGCTGGGTTAAAATGGAATCAGCTCGCACAAGATGTAAAGCGGAGGTCATTGCGAAAAGCCTCAGTCCTGAAGTGGATATAAAATAGGCTGACCATGATGATGATGAATGATGATGGCTGTTTTCCTTAGAACAAATTCCTAGCTATGTACCGGCAGGCTGGCCGCCCTAGCTGTTTGCATGAAGGGCACTCGACTGATGCGGCGCTCGAAGTCCACCAGATTGCCTATCACGGTGCGACGGCGTTTGGTGCACGCTGCCTGACATCGCTCTCGCTCATGGCCGGCTTCTGGACTGGAGCTGCAGGTGCTCGGCTCTGTTGGCAGTGCAGCTTCCTTATCAGCCGGTGACGCTGCACCTGCTAAATGAATAGTGCATTGTTTGGAACCACGTGTACATTGGCTCTGTATATTTAGGCAAGGCCATAATGCGGCGCTTGCAGTATGGTTGAAGAAAACTTTAGTTTTCAGTTCGCAAGAGAAAACTACAAAAAATCCCAATGCAAAGGTGCTGTGCAATGTCAGAGACCATATGCAGACCAAAAGCTTAATTCGATGCTATTTGTTTGATACATTACTCTTCTTTGGATTAAACACTTGTACATTCCAGGCTGCAGCTTCAGCAGCTGCTGAACATCACCAGTTGCTGTGCGCAAACGCCATTTCCTTACACATTGAAATGTTTACATAAATTGTAAAATTATGTCGTCATAATTACGACAAGAGATTATCGTTAGCGGGAAGCTGGCAATGAAGATAGCATGTAATGACGCTGCAGGTTAAACAGGGCTAAGCAATGATTATTTGTAATTGCACAACACATCGAGACGATGGGTGTATATGTAAAATTCATCTAGATATAATGAACCTGATACAATACTTGCCATCTGTGTTTTAAGGTGCTTCGATGCGTACGTTAATTCTTCCTTATATACCCATTGCTAAAGCTGTCGCAAGTTTGTACCTGTTCACTTGCAAACTTCTCTTCCACATCAGCAATTTCTTCATGTGCTAAAGAGAGGAACGGCGAGTGAGAGAGGATGACAATTTGTGTTTTCCGTAGGGTTCGTCTCCCAGTCGCCATTGTGTTCAGCGAAGGAACTACGAACAGCCACCAAGTAGCCTAAATTTTGCGTTATTTTGAAATTCTCTCCCATCAGCCCGCCTCCTTATTTTCGCACTTCTGCTCATCTCATTTCCCATAACCTCATCTCAGCACCTTCATACGTGCCATGGCGTTTTGATAATCAGTATAAAGTTTTCGTTACTATTTGCCGCATTAATGTTTTTTTCAGACCCCTTTTTATGAAAAACGAGCGCTCAGTGGAACCGCCTTCCCCCCTCCATGGCCTGCATAGAGAACGCTTCATCCTTCAAAGCTGCACTAACTGATTACGTCTTCAGCCTGTCATAGCTGAGTTTGTTGGAACATGTATTTTCTTTAATATGTTGTATTTCTATGTTGCATTTTTTTGCATTTTTTGTTTTTGTATAACCCTACTCCTTCTGTAACGCCTTTATGTACCCTGAGGGTAAAATAAATTGAATGAAATTACATGCGAGAATGTTTTCTGCGTTCCTGCTGCAAATCACATTGCTATTGCTCAATAGTTTATGAGGCCGACAGGGCTTTCGCAAGATCTGCGCAGCCAAACTATGCAATTAGTAATTTTTCTGAGCTGTATTTACAAAGAATATGATGTACTATTATTAGATTCCGGTCACATGTTAGGTTATGCTTCTAAGTAATTGCTTGTAGCTTCGCATTTGGGTAGCCGACATACTGAACAGATTGCACACGTTCAATAAAATAACGAAGCTTATCACCTGCTGATACGTATGCGATGTATATGCCACCAACCGATACCTCGCAAAGGGGGCCCATATAATCGTCATCATGACATTTTTATTTTGCTTTTATTGCGTACAGGTGAAATGGGGTGTTTTAATAAGTTATGGTTACACCGTACAGCTACTTCTTAAATAAGTTGCGCCTTAAACAAGAAAACAGTCTCTACGAACAAAAGATGAATAATTTTGTTCTCTGAGTCTGTATTTGTTTGATTATCTGAATTATCGTGCACGTACTGTGTTTCCGAAGCTCACGTACTATATCTAAACAGTCCAAAATTGCGTTATATATGCCCAATGTACAATAAAAAATGTCTTATGCTTAAGCACACCCACAACGAAATCACTTCTATAGAGAACGCTTCCTTACGTCTCGGCTATTGCAACATGGCGACCTTCGCAATGAACTGACTTGCTTAATGAATTATATTGAAGGCCTTGAGCACTTAGATCATTGTGCAGGCGTTTGGCTGCTTCACTTTCGACTGCCGATAGGCGATGCAGTATATATCTAACCGCTGCCGCCTGTGCCGTGTTCGTGGACGCGTTTGTCAGAACTGGCCGGGGTTCCCTGACTGGTGGCCGGTGTCGTTTGGCCGCTAGGTCCAGGGGAGCCCTCTTCCGACTTCACTTTGGGGGTTCCGCTAGTTCTCGGGGCTGCGGCTTCTTCGCTACTGGCGGGTTCCGGGTCCCCGTGCATAGGTGCAAGTGCAGGCGAGGAGGCTCCGCTGCGCTTGTCAGCACCAGCGACGGACAGGCGGCTGAGAGCGTGGCCGCCTAGCACGAGTACGCAAAATGCACTTGGTTGGCTCGCACTCATTTTGGTGGTTGATAGTCATACTTAACCTTAAAAAAAAGAAGAATGAAATATTGAGGGATGAAAATGTCTAGTTTTTTTTTTTCGTTCTAACTTTAATTTCCTTGATCATTTGTCCTGAACAAGCAGTGTTACCGCTTTTGGAAAAATGGTCTGAAAGCTCAGAGCACAAACTTGTTTTTCTTCATGTTTAGGCCAGGCTAGTGTACAAAAAGTCACAGTTTCGCCACCAGGGCAAAGGTGGCAAAACCTCATAACCGCGAAAATGCTCGCGACAGCGACGAGCGACGTGACGTAGATTGCCTTCGCGCGAACAGTCGCTATCGCAGGCAAACCTCATTCACACGACGTCTTCGGTGAGCGAACTCCACTGTTGCTTGCACGAGGACGTCTACTCGCAGCAAGAAAACCGCGTAGTGAGCGGTATGCAATTTAAAAATAAGATATATTGTTGTGTAATGGAACGGAAAGTGTTTATGATTGCCTTGCAGCACTTTTCTTTATGTGAACCTGCATGAACATTACGTTATTTCTTCGTTGTGCATGCGTGACTCGGGAGGAGAGGCGAGTGAAAGGAGGTGGCAATTTCGCGGCACATGAGGAGAACCGGCAGTACGTCATTTATGTACATCCTGTTCCGGTGCTTTGACCACAGCACTCCCGGGCGATGTGAGATGGTTTCCAAATCTGGAGAACCAAGCGATCGCGCGAAAACTACCACACGACACGTCGCGCGAACGCCCCGATTCGTCGCTCATAGCATCGCTCGTCGCTGTCGCGTGCATTTTCGCGTTTATGAGGTTTGGCTTTCACTCGCCAGAACGACGGCGAAAACAAGAGCACACGCAACACTTCCGCGCTCAACGAAAAAAAAAAAAGGTCCAGTCAACACTACTGTTGCGTTGTGATTGCCACGGACGTAGAGAACTAGAGGACGTAAGCACTAATTTCCGCCGCTTTCGCGAAACGGAACGGCGAGAGCTCTTGTTGAGGGCCGTTGCGGGCGTGTTGGGTAAGAGAATTACTCGCGTTCTCCACAGCCGTTCGCATGAGAAGTGTCATGACGTAGGTCTCCGGTTATTGTTTTGAGTTGCCTTGACGGATAACCGCGGTAACTTTGAGTGGCAGTAGATAGGTGACGCGCACCATAAACATCGAACACGCCACGACCATCGATAATCTGAAGTGGCCGCAACCACACAGCATTGCGCATGTAGGCTTTGAAGGCTCTACGTTTCTGCTATAACTAGCATATGCTAACATGTACGTCATACAGGTAATCGCAAAATGTTGGCCGTTACCATAACAAAGTTTTCCTTGCCGTTTGTCTCCGCGATTGCCGGAGCTATCTCGGAGGTTTCGATTTTGCCTTTCGTTGTACACAGAGAAAGTGGACACGCATGTATCCATATTTACAGTGTATACAAACGGAAGGCAACCGTCAACAGAACTTTCTAGGATTCGCAATAAAACCGTTCAGCGCACAAGAAGCAAGAGGTGGATGGAGATGCAACTGCAAAGGCCAAAATCGCAGGAGCCATCTGATAAAGTGAGTTCACTGATCGTATAAGATACATTGGTTGCGTATGTACGTCATCGCATGACCATCATGTGTACGCCCAAATTTAACGCATTTAGGCGTTACAGAACGCATGTTGGAGTACTTGCATTGAACTCTATGTCATGCGACGTTCGCTTTGGCCTAAATTGTGAGTTGCAACACCCCGAAATAAACTGAAACATTTTTGGCGCTGTACCCGCAGTTCGCTTTGATCAGATTCCTAGTTTTCTGAGGCGACGTTACATTGATGATAGGAGCTTGCCAGGTCTTTGATTATCAGGGAACCACGCCTAAACACTAACGATGGGCCTAGGCACGTTCTCTTGTGGACGGCTCTCTTTGCACTACCCAGTTATGGCCAGCGCGGCGATGGGGGCGCTGGTGGCGGCGTTTTTCACAACGCCGTCTAGGCAGAGTCTGACGTCTATTCCGTGGTCCAGACTGCTGCATAAACTCCAGCTTTATTCTGTGGACCAAACCACAAAATAAACTACAGCTTTATTTTGTAGACCAACCACACCAACACAGATTTTTGCTAGCCTACTTGTGCTGCGAAGCGTGTGACTACGCCACATGGAGGAAAGGCTGTAGAATCACCTCTCTCGACGACATTTTGTCGCACCAATGGCAAAATTTGTTTGTGTAAAAGGGATCATACTATCCGGACAAAGTGCTCCTTCATTCATTCATGCGAGATTGAAAAAAAGACATTTGAAGTGCGAAGCCCATTTGGGTGGTAATGAACGCAGTCGTTATGAACTGAAGCAGTCAAAGGAAGACGCGTTTAGTGTTGCAGAAACTCACCGAAATGATATGGATCGGCTGCTTATTGCAAATTTCATATTGCTTTAAATTTATCTTTCATGTATACACGCATCTCACTTGATTCGCCCAGTAGACATCCGAATTTCGAGCAATCTCCCTGAACGGGCGGGCCTTAAAACGAATAAAAAACACTGCTAACGCCACCTCAAAAAAAAAAAAAAAAGAGGTGGGGGTGGGGAGTGGAGGGGGAGACAGCGTTAGACACTTCTACTGACTTTCATCCGTGGAGTGCTGAACTTTTAAGTCAATTTTTGCTGTAGTATATTTGTGTGGTGCAAAAAGCGCAATGAAATTGGCAAGGCTCTATGGTTTACACGAAACATTTGTACCTTAATTACGCACTCGTCACTATTAAGGGCAATGTCTCAAAACTTTACTGAAACGTCTGAAAACGTGCTATATTCTGTGAAAGCTACACTTGTATCTTGTTAATCTTAGTGCGCTTTTCGCATTACTTTTATGTACTGCGGTGAAAGTGACGTTCTGAACATGATGAAGTAATGCGTGAAAAATTTAGAAACGCCGTTCTTTGTTCTTGGTATTTTATTTTAGCGGAGAAATTGGCGCTGTTTCTCGGAAGATGGTGCTGTTTTTCGGGCTGTGCTTATACAATTGGGAGGAATAATCAAAATTTGTTTCTCCTGTGAAAGTTCTACTTCACTTTTTTGCATGACAGGAATGTATTGTAGCGAAAGTAACTTAAATATTCAGCACGTGATAGATCAGGGCGAGAAAATTTTAAAATAGCGTCATTTGTTATTATTATACGCCGGACTACTCTTGCTCCTGCAGTTTGCAACTAAAAGTTTCCCCACTGCTAATAAAATAATGGAGGCACGTGTGAGACCAGCAAGCACGCCAAAGGTGCCATTCACCTTAGCATTTCGAGCCTTTCACGCATATATGCGTGTTCAATCGCGCATCGCTGTACTCCGACGCTTTATGTTCGCGGACATGACCTCCTCGGTCAGGACCAAGAACGACAAGTGAACTTTCCTATTCGCACACAGCCATCGACAAGGAAGGAAGGAAGGAAGGAAGGAAGGAAGGAAGGAAGGAAGGAAGGAAGGAAGGAAGGAAGGAAGGAAGGAAGAGAGGGAGGGAGGAAGGAAGGAAGAAAGGAAGAAATGAAGGGAGGAAGGAAGGAAGGAAGGAAGGAAGGAAGGAAGGAAGGAAGGAAGGAAGGAAGGAAGGAAGGAAGGAAGGAACGAAGGAAGGAAGGAAGGAAGGAAGGAACGAACGAAGGAAGGAAGGAAGGAAGGAAGGAAGGAAGGAAGGAAGGAAGGAAGGAAGGAAGGAAGGAAGGAAGGAAGGAACAACTGTGACCGTTGTTAGTTCGAGCTCGTCCTGTGTAAACTTGTGCGTCTTTGTGTGCCCTCAGTATTTGAGCAGCACGCTTCAAATGTATGGCTATGAAAATCGTTAGTTCGTACTTGTCCTAAGTGTGTTCTTTTCGTGCGTCCTTTGTGCTTGAGCAGAGCTCTGGAAGTTTCAAGCTGCTTGCCGCTCTTTGCGGGACATTCAAACATGTTGCTGTCACATTGATTGCTTAGCTCCTGCGGCGAAAGTGTGGCTTTTGTTTGCGCTTGTTGGCGTCACCTTTTTGCGAGGTTCACATTGTGCTGTGTCCAGGTATATGTTAACAACTTCAGCTACCACAACAGTTCAGTCATGACCATGGGCGTTAGTCGCTGGATGGCGATTCACCACTATAGGCGTCAACGTGGGCGCGTCCACGTGAAACAGTGCTATAGCTGCCAAACACCAATACACATTGTACAAGCACTCATATGTAAGCGATCCGCCGCGTTGGGTCAGTGGCTAACGTGCTCGGGTGATGTCCCGAAGGTCGTGGGTTCGATCCCGGCGGTCGCATTCGGATGGAGGCAAAATGGTAGAGGCCCTTGTACTGTGCGATGTCAGTGCATTTAAAGAACACCGAAAATTCGGGAGCCCTCCACTACGGCGCCTCTCATATTCAAACCGTGGTTTTTGGGACGTAAAAACCCGGATAATAAATAATGAAAATAATCATAATCACAAGTCAGCACCCGATAACCGCTAAACTACATTCGTTTAGGACACGTTTTATTTTCGTGTCATACCGAAATCTATGGCGGAAAGATCAGCCATGCTTTCACTCCCTTTTCTCGTTTATTTTTCCACACTCACAATTATGTCACATCCACTTGCCAGATAGATGAAGTAAAACACGTCTGGCAATAAAAACTCTAGTGATCCCTGTTGCCGTGTATCAGGCAGGCCGGCGTGTGCATAACTCACCGGACCCTCGGCTCTCACTCCGGTTTCGTGACGGGCTGTGGATGCTCCGTCCCGAGCCTCTACCTGGTAGTGTCCTGCGAAAAATCCTTGAAGAGTAGCTCGGGGAGCTCCTTAGTGGGATTCTCGACGGATAGATGCGACGCAGGCGCGGCGAATTTTGGCCCGAGGTGCTTCCGCTTCGGAGCAGCTTTTGATTTGTGTAGGAAAACATTGTTCGGTCACTTGGTCGGTTGTACCGGCTGCATGCACCTGCATTCAAAGGATGATGGTATGATTACCCAGCGGTAACGCGGATGCAAGAATAATACCCAGACAGTTGTTGTTTTCACTGTGT